AAAAAAAAAAAAAAAAAAAAAAAACCCAAAACAAAAAAAAAAAGAGGAGACAGATACAGACAACCAGCACAGCCCCCCCCGCGGTCGGTGCTTTTGCGGGGCCGGGGGCACAGGACAAGACCTAGGACATCAGCTACTGTGTGACTTAGTGAAGTAACTCAAGCAGGGGACGAGGCAGAGGCCAGTCTCCCTTCGTAGCCCCTCTGCCTCCTCCTCCGGGCGGGAGCTGCTTCCTCAGCTATCCACCCCTCCGACTCCCTGCGAGCCCTCTCCCGCTCCGGCCCGGCTCGCTCGGCCTTGGGATAGTCCTGCACACTGCTGGGGGAGAGCACAGGCATCTCAGCGAGCGTCTCCCCTGCCCCCCTGCCTTCCCCTCTCCCACGCCCCAGGCTCCTTCCCAAGCTGGGAAAAGCCCGACACAACCCACGAGACTTCCCCCCCCAAATCATCCATGCGAGAGGCCGGCTTGGACGTGCATCAGATCCAGGGGAGCTCCCAAGCCCCCAGCTCTGCCCCTCGCACGCTCACTTGTTGTGGGTCTCCTCGGCGGACGCCTCCGACTCTCCCGCTCCCGGCCCTTGGCTTTTGTCCTTCTCCTCTGCGCCCTCCGCTTTTTGGGACAGGGATTCACCATTCACAGGACCCGACAAGTCTAAAGGGAAGAGAGAGGCTCAGACACTCGGGTCCCCACAGCAGACCTCGTCCACCCTGACCCACGAGGGGCTGGGCAAGCCGAGGACCCAGAGCCAACAGGTTGTCCCCATCCAGGCAAGGGACACCCAGCTGAGACCGAGGGGACCCCAAGGTCTGGCCTGACCCCAATAGCTACGAGAAGGGCCCCAAAGACTCCATCCCCCAAGCCCAGAGGCAGGCGTCAGAGCGTCATCAGCTCCTCCGGGAAGGCTCTTGCAGCATCACCAGGACGTCCCCAGGCAGGGACCCAGCCACGATGGTGGAAGATCCCAGTCACCAGCTGCCTGCGCAAGAGCCTGAGCCAGCGTCCAAGGGCGTCTCCGCATTCCTCCGTCTCCCCGGTGCCTTGGACCAGCGCTCAAGCTGGCAGCGAGGAGCCATCCTGGCCCAAAAATCAGCCCAGAGGCACCCAAAGCCAGGGCGTGGGCGTCGAGGTTTGCCCTCTGCTCTCACTGCCGCGAGCGTTCGCTACTCAGTCCTTTCCCACTCTTGGCACTCCAGCGAACAAGGGACTGGAGGTGCCGCGCGTGGCTGCCGATTCCCTCCACCACCGAGGCCAAGAGCCACCCCTGTTCACGTCCCCAGTCCCCAGCGGGACGTGCTGTGTCCCTGTTTGTGTCCCCAGCGGGACATGCTGTGCCCTGAGAAGGGCCCTGGGATCACTATGTGCCCGGGCAGAGCAAGGAACTGCCCCGAGACGTGCAGGGAGCGTTACCAGCATTCGTCTCCTCTTCTCCCTTCTCATTCCGTGTCTCCCCTCCTGACAGCTTCTCCTGGCTCTTCTCCGCCTCCCCCTTGTCCTTCTCAGGCCCGGCTTTGTTGGCTTTCTGGATGGCCTCCATCTTTGGTCCTAGGACGCGCGACTTCAACCGGGTGTAGACTTCGGCAGCTTTCTCCATCACGTCCTTGTTTGCTTTATAGCGACGGATCTGCACCAGAAAGAGGGAGGAGGGACGCCCTCAGAGCTGGGGCGACCCAAGCACGCTCCTCGCTCCCCTCCAGGCAGGGACTCAGCCCTCTGCCCTACCTTTTTCAGCGTAGCCACCACGTCGGTGTGCTTCTGGAGGATGTGAGAGGTGACCTGGAGCGTGCCCAGCTCCTCTAGCGCATTCAGACACCGCTTGATGTCCTGCAAGGATGGCACCGAGATCAGAAGCTGCCTGGAAGTCTCCCTGTGGGCACCCGGGGCAGCGCTGCGTGGAGCACAAAGCTGCCTGGAAGTCTCCCTGCGGGCACCCGGGGCAGCGCTGCGTGGAGCACGGTCCCCTAATGCCACCCAGCATCCAGAAAGGGAAGAGGGGGCTCAGGCAGGCTGAGGACCCCCAGGTATTGCAGCTGGGCAAGGCTCACGCGGTGGCCGAGGAGACGAGGAGCAGGGACATCCCAGGCCAGACCAACCTCTCGGGCACTCACCGGGTTATCCACCTTCAGGGCAAACTTGACC